AGGTCAAGAGAAGTCTAATGTGTTTAGAATAGAGCTTTGAATGCAACCCTAATTTTGTTTTATTTCCCTTGTTTAGGGAAAATGGAGAATATTTGGATTGAAGGTGTCAGACGAAAGCTGAAGAAGGTTACAGATTCTGAGATCATCCAAGAAGTTGTTGTTGTTGTTTTTGAGGAGGAGAAGGACTTCATGCAGTCTTATATGAAGAATTTGGAAGAGGAAACTTCCAGCTATTTTAAATCTCCTGTATGTACTCGCAAGGACTATTACTACTATGCCTGTGAGAGATCCAGCAAAGCAACTGGAAATAGCAAAGGAAAACCAATGAAAACCAGGGCTAATTCTTGCAGAGCCTATGTGTCTTTCAGTATAATCAAGGATGCTGGATTTACAGGTGCTGTGGTGCACAAAATGTTAAAACACAATGGACATGATGCTGGCATTCAAGAAGAGGGTGTAAAAAAAAAATCGTGTTGATCCAGAGCTACTGGCTTTCATTGACATTTGGCTTGAACAAGGGCTGTCAGTCTCCGAAACACTTCTGAAAAGTGTTGATTGGGCAGAACGACATGGAAAATGGACAAACACAATCGTCGATTCTATGTTACACCAGAGGATATAAGAATAATCAAAAAGAACACCAATGCCCTCATTTTTCCTGATGTGAAAGACTGTGTCAGTGTTGACATTCTAGCTACATCAGAGCTTAAGGAAAACATTTGTTTTTACCAGCCTTTAAGTGATGAAAAACCCTTGATAATTGTAATACAGACACCCTGGCAAAAGCAGCTTCTAAAAGAACATCCACATCCCATGATGTTCATGGACGCCACCTACAAAAGCATGACCTCATATGGCTATGCATTCTATGCACTTCTTCTGAAGAATAGTATTGGAAGAGGGATTCCATTTGCATACTTCATCATCAGTCAGCCCTTCCTGGATCGGGGCCTTGTCGTGGCGGAAGGGCTTGTGTCGTCTAGGGATCTTCAGAGCTAAGTCGTCGGAAGCAACATGCTCCTGGTAGGGTCTCCCAGGGCGAACAGGTCTGGAGTGAAGACCCAGACTAACTTGATCCAAAAACCTCCATGAAAAACGGACACAGAGCATCGTGTACCCTGCCCAGGAGAGGGTCACCGGGACCTACCCCTGGAGCCAGGCCTGGGGGTAGCGTCCCTCGGCGAGCGCCTGGTGGCCGGGCAGCCCACGTAACCCGGCCGGGCTCAGCCCGAAGAGGCAACGTGGGGGGACCATGTGGGCCCACCACCCGCAAGGTCCAGCATGGGGGAGTGGTGCAGTGCCGTACAGGCAGTGGGAGATTGCAGGGGGGCCCTTGGCGGCCTAGGCCCCTGCGGCAGAAACTGGCTCTTGGTACGTGGAATGTAACCTCACTGGGGGGAAGGAGCCGGAGCTTGTGCGGGAGGTTGAGAGGTACCAACTAGATATAGTTGGGCTCACCTCCACCCACAGTATCGGCTCTGGAACCAAACTCCTGGATAGGGGTTGGTCCCTCTCCTACTCCGGGGTTGCACAAGGTGAGAGGCGCCGGGCGGGTGTGGGGATACTCACGAGTCCCCGGCTGGCGGCAGTGCAGTTGGAGTTTGTCCCGGTGGACGAGAGGGTCGCCTCAATGCGTATTAAAATCGCAGAGAGGAAAACTCTGACTGTTGTGTGTGCTTATGCACCAAACAACAGGTCAGAGTATTCGGCCTTCTTGGAGCAAGTGGGCGGGGTTCTGGAAAGGGTCCCGACTACAGACTCCATAGTCTTACTGGGAGACTTCAATGCTCATGTTGGCAATGACTGGGAGACCTGGAGAGGCGTGATTGGGAAGAACGGCCTGCCCGATCTAAAGCCGAATAGTGAATTGTTATTGGACTTCTGTGCCAGGCCTGGATTGTCCATAACGAACACCAAGTTCGAACACAAGGATGTTCATAAGTGTACATGGTACCAGAGCTCCTTGGGTCAAAGGTCAATGATCGACTTTGTTGTCATTTCATCTGACTTGGGACCATATGTTCTGGACACTCGGGTGAAGAGAGGTGCTGAGCTGTCAACTGATCACCATCTGGTGGTGAGTTGGATCAGATGGCAGGGAAGACTGAGGGTTAGACCCGGTAGGCCCAAGCAAATAGTGAGGGTGTGCTGGGAACGACTGTCGGAGGCCCCTGTTTGGAATGATTTTAACTCCCACCTCCGGGAGAGCTTTTCTCATGTCCCGGAGGGGGGGGGGCAGAGTCTGAATGGACCCTGTTCAAAACCTCCATTGTGGAAGCTGCCAGGCGCAGCTGTGGCCAAAAGCTTGTTGGTGCCTGTCATGGCGGTAACCCAAGAACCCCCTGGTGGACACCGGTGGTGAGGGAGGCGGTCAAGCTGAAGAAAGAGGCCTTTAGGGACTGGATGGCCCGAAGGACTCCCGATTCAGCAGATAGGTACCGACATGCAAAAAAGGTGGCAGCTGCAACGGTGGCAGAAGCAAAATCCAGGGCGTGGGAGGAGTTTGGTGAGGCCATGGAAAAAGACTTTCGGTCGGCCTCGAGGAGGTTCTGGACAACTGTCCGGCGACTCAGGAGTGGTCGGGGTGGCTGCGCCCAGGCTGTATTCAGCAGGGGTGGAGAAACTCTGACTTCAAATGAGGATATTATCGGTCGGTGGAAAGAGCACTTTGAGGAACTCCTTAATCCGGGTGACATGCCTCCCTCACGGGAGTCAGGGCCAGAGGCCTCTGGCGTGTCAAGCTCCATTTCCCTGGTGGAGGTCACTGAGGTAGTTGGCAAGCTCTTCAGTGGCAAGGCACCGGGGGTGGATGAGATTCGTCCGGAGATGCTTAAGGCTCTGGATATTGTGGGGCTGTACCGGACTGTAGTGGTGAAGAGGGAGCTGAGCCGTAAGGTGAAGCTCTCTGTTTACCGATCGGTCTACATCCTGACCCTCACCTATGGTCATGAGCTGTGGGTAATGACCGAAAGAATGAGATCGCGAATACAAGCGGCAGAAATGAGCTTTCTTCGCAGGGTGGCGGGCTACACTCTATTTGATAGGGTGAGGAGCTCGGAGTAGAACCGCTACTCCTCCGCATTGAGAGGAGCCAGCTGAGGTGGTTCGGGCATCTGATCCGGATGCCCCCGGGACGCCTCCCGGTGGGGGTGTACCAGGCACGGCCTACCGGAATAAGACCCCGGGGTCGTCCTAGGACCGGCTGGAGGGATTATATCTCCAAGTTGGCCTGGGAGCGGCTTGGGGTCCCCGGGAATGAGCTGGAGGAAGTTGCGGGGGACAGGGTCACCTGGGATTCTCTGCTCTCCCAACTGCTACCGCGACCCTATCTGGACTAAGCGGTTAACGATGATGATGATGATGATGATGATGATCATCAGTCAGAGATATATTCTAATAACCTCCCCCACCACCTACATATTGGCACCCCCCGGATTTCTTTTAAAGCTGTGGGAATCATTGGTTTAGCTTATGCAGTCTAAAGTATATACAGGAAAATTTTCATACCATTTACAATAATCACACAGATGTCGCTAATATGATCTAACTCTTCTGATTTCCTCTAACATGTAGGCTGTACATAGGTGGTTGGTAAAAAGGGATGGAGGGAACCTGCCAGTGAAGCAGAGAAACGTGGTGATTCAAGCAATGGTGGCAATGAAGATGTGCTTAACGGTAAGGCTCTTTCACATGCATACAATAGATAGGGAAACTTAAGGAAATAAGTCTCACTAAAAATATCAATTACTAAAAGGGAACACTACAGGCAGGTCGATCAGCTCCTTCGCTTGCTGTGTGGGGATGTTCAGAAATATTACTGGTAAATACACTATTTATTGTAGTATTCACTATTGTCCTGAAAAAAAAAAAACACATGGATGACCTGGCAGACATTGGACGAATCAAGGGAATCAACACTGATGACTTCTCTAATGCTGTCAAGTCTATGATTGAGAAAGGACTAGATTTAAAATTTAAAATGAATGAAACTGGAACATGTTTTGTTCCACCTGATACGAGTGCACAGTCTCACACAGTTGATTTGGTGATGGTCAAATGTGACTGCAGAAGAGCCAAAAGCGGTTCTGTATGCAAACATATCGTTTTCTCAAGAGTAGTTGCACAGCAGCAAGGAGTAGACATTCAGGAACTCAGGATTGCAGTTGCTAGAAAAATCATTGATAGTCATTCATACATCTCAGATGATGAAAGCCTCAGTCTTTCACAGTGATGGGAGTGTAGGAGTTATAAATCACAAAAGTCCAAACTTTTGTACATGCATAGCAAATAGTCATAGTGAAGAATGTGTCTGTATTTTGGTTCACAACATCCTCTACCTACCTCTGACACCTTGCAAGTTGGTCTCAAATGAGACAAATTGCCAGAAAAAAAACAAGATAAAGACAAAAGCTGAACTGCAGGCCATGTTGAAGGACCTTACTGAATGGAGCCAAACAGACAAGTACACTGAGAATAGGGAGCTGTACAAGATGATAGAGAGGGCACACAAACTAGTTTTTTCAAACTTCAGTGTTCTGTCGAGAAAAAGAAAAACAACTGCACTACATGCCTATCGGCAACAGGTTAAAAAGGCAAAACATACGGTCACTATGAATTACATTTGCAAACGGAAAAGCAGAGGGAAACATAAAAAATAAAAATTAGAGCTGCAAGCTGCTGAAAACCTTGAACATAGTAGAATTTGAATGGCCAACTTATGTTTCTGATATGTGAACTGAACAATGTATTTAAGATTTTGACTGACAACACATGACCTAAAGTGTTGAGTGGTGTCACATGTATGGGAACTACTACCAGTTTTGTATATAGGTTTTGTTTAAGCTTTATAAAAACTTTATGTTTTATGTTTTATTGTTTTGTCAATTAATAACCATGAATAAATGGTAATTAGCAGGCTCCAAGTAGGAAGTGGCACTTGATACGTAGTGGGGTTTCAAACATGTAACTATCAACAAATCAAGATAGAAGAAAACATGCAATTCATGTCTTTTTATGTTTATTTTTCCTGTACTGATGAACAGTGTACTCATACAAATAAAAAGAGAATTTGTATAATTAAATGCAAATATACAGCAAAATGGAAAAAAGTACTCCTCTTTAACACATTTTTTTTTCTGTACCTGTCCTGAACAATGTACTCATAAAAATAAACAAGCATATGAAAACAAATATTTGCAAATACAAAATAAAGTAGGTAAAAACTAAACTTACTCATCTGTGGAAACTTTTGATTTCAACACTCTCATTTTCTCGTTAAGACATGCATCAATTAATGCAAAAGTGCCTTTTATAACAGCAGGCCCAAGACCATGTGTTGCCAGGTCAAATGTTTCCCAATTGGTCTCCAAAGCATTCTTTACAGCTTTCAATGTCTTCCTGCAATTGAAAATAAAAACAATGTTTAACTTTCAGTAATGTTCAGTTAAATTGATCATTGATGCCTTCAGTTAATGCCAAACATAGTACATCTTTCTTACCTGCAGTCCTCAGTTTTGGCCATGGCAGCATGGACATTGCCATCTTCCATCAATGCTTGACCCACTCTTTTCTGGGGGATGAATTTTGCTGCCAGGTACATTATGTCACCAGCCAGGTCATTGCATTCATCTAAAATGTAGTAATTGCACATAACACAAATATTCATAATGCTGTTAAATGTAGTACAAGTAAATAATAACCATAATGTGGTGTGCAGACATATTATAATCAAAAACTGGGTAGTGTAAAACAACCTAGCACTAAGTTGAGGGGCTAATAACACCCCAGGCTATTTTGGTATAACTGAACACCCCATAGTGGTCAGTCTTTCATGCATACCATAAAAACTTGCTTGATTTTTCTTTGATATAAAATTAGTATAAATGATTTGTACAGTTTACTTATTTACTGTGACAACTACTGTTTCAGAAATTCTGTGAAGTTCCCAAGAGTTACAACATCCACTCCATAAGCATGCCTTTACAGAAGTTAAGTAACACCTTAATGTTACATTAAGACCAGTTGTAAGTGAGAAGTAAGATGATAATTTAATTATACAAAACCACAAACACAAGGCTACTGGTGCCAGTATTCCCACAGTAGTTACTGCTACTTCCACTCCATTATTACCTTCACAAAGTTTGGAGCACTGTGAAGTTAACTTTGTGCGCTTTGAGGGCTTGACTTCCAACTCTGCTAACTTCTCTTCAATGTTTCTTTTTTGTCCCTTGGCCTTCCTTAGATAAGCCACTACAGTGTTTGAAGAGTAGCTCTCTGGTAGGGAGCATCTCCTTCGCAGTTCATCTGCAGTGACTAGGTATCTAAAATACCACCACATTAATGATCATCTTGAACAGCCTGTGATGCTTTATAAAATTGTATTTTACAGTCTTAATAGCAAAACTTAAAAACTTTATTAACAAACTCTTGCAGTGCACAGGAGTACAGAAGAAAGACTTGAATCATGCCAATAAATGCGATTTGCCCAAAATATGAGACTTATGAAAAAATCCCAAAGGGCTAACTGATCTACAGCATGATTTACTATTATTTCAAACCTATTTCATAAAATATTTTCCCTTACCTCTTGGCCTGGTGAAAGTCTGAAACTTTTAGAACACTTTCCACTAGAAATCCCCCTGTAAAAGTGAAAAAAGGAAATGTGAAATTACTGACAGAAAATACGTAACTTGCTTTATGTTGAATGCAAATTAATTACTGTGTCTATATTAAACAAGACTTGTCCTAAAACCATCAGTATGAATTTATTTTTGCAAGACTTAGGGCTCTGATCAACACAGCTGTCATTTGTGTAATGTTCCAATAACAGAAGTTTGATAGCATCAAAAACTGCAATGACACGGGAAATTGAATCTTCAAGTTGTTTTAAGAAAGAGATTGCTTAGCATGAGCATGAAAAGAACATAAAAATGTGCAGCCCCATCGGTTGGGTTAAGGAAATTGGAAGACTGAAATTTACATGTGTGACGAATAGGTCTGCAAACTTTTGGCAAGTTAGTGTATTTATCTAAAGGTGCACTTAAACTTTTACTTGTCTGATCTTCTTGGTTGTGTCCTGTGTTGTCTTCTCCCTGAATTCCTGTGTTGTCTCTGTTACTTTTCCCTGTGTTGTCTTCTCCCTGAATTCCTGAGTTGTCTCTGTTACTTTGCCCTGTGCTGTCTTCTCCCTGAATTCCTGGGTTGTCTCTGTTAATTTCTCCTGTGTTGTCTTCTCCCTGAATTCCTGTGTTGTCTCTGTTACTTTGCCCTGTGCTGTCTTCTCCCTGAATTCCTGTGTTGTCTCTGTTACTTTGCCCTGTGCTGTCTTCTCCCTGAATTCCTGTGTTGTCTCTGTTACTTTCTCCTGTGTTGTCTTCTCCCTGAATTCCTGTGTTGTCTCTGTTACTTTTCCCTGTGTTGTCTTCTCCCTGAATTCCTGTGTTGTCTCTGTTACTTTTCCCTGTGCTGTCTTCTCCCTGAATTCCTGTGAGGTATCTGCTACTGCTGCCTCCATTATTCTGCCCTAATACATGCAATATTTCAAAGATAAAATATTTATATTAGTCGTCCAACATTCAATGAACAACATCAATTTTTCCCATATGTGTGTTGTTCTAGATGTACAAGGGTGGGTCAAGATGAGCTGTATATAAATCTAGGGACTGTATGTATTTCATGACTGTAAACAATTTTAGAGTTTGAAAGTGTCTCACATTTCAGGGTTTATAATTACACAGGAATCCTGCTTAAAAGTGTTTTGACTTATTCCACTATTTATTTATTCATTTATTTATACAAAATTTAGAAAGTGAATATTATTAATGCTGACAAATTGTCTTTTGTAATATTTCATAAAAATGTATGAACACGTAGACTTCTCCACAATTATTGGCACCCCTGATAAAGATGAGTAAAAAGGGTTATATACAATTTCACCTTTTCATGAATTAGCTTAATCTCAGAAAAAATGAGAAAAATCCAACCTTTCATAGAAGTAAATTTATTCTAAGATACAAAAGTCTCTCACCAAAAAATAGTTTTCTCAACAAAACCACATACAACTTCCTAGATAATGTAACTGAGGCATTTTGTCATTTATATTTTGCTTTTTTAAGTTGATCGGAGTGTCTAGGAACTTTCAAGCAGTAATCCATGACCTGTTTCACTGGGGTATTTACAGTCATAAGTTTACATACACCTTAGGCCCAATCCCATTTCACCCCTTGCCGCTACCACTTAGGGTGAAGTGATGTTTTTTTTTTATCTCAGAATAAATTTACTTCAAATAAAGGTTGGATTATTCTCATTTTTTCAGTGTGAGGAAAATCACCAAAAGGTGAATTTCTTATAACCAGTCTTTACCAGGGTTGCCAGTAATTGTGGGTAGGACCGTACACCATTCATGTTTATGCAGGTCATTTACACCAGCTTTGGGATGTTATGAATGTGTGCCAAAGTGGATGTTGCACTCATTTGATTTCATCTCCAAAAAATAAAAAAAAAAAGTTCTCAAAAGTTACAATAACAATACTACAATACTACAAAGGTCCATTGATTCCAAAATTCACTACCTTTGCAAACAAGACACTTGTCCTCTTGACTTCCAGAAAGACATTTTGCATGGATACGTGCTGAACAAGTAGAGCATTTTTCCTAAAAAAAAATAATTTGCATGAGAAATAGTTAAATCATCAATTATCCGATTCCAGTCCTGAAGGGCCGCACTTCTAAGCATATTTTTGTTTTCACTTCTCCAAAACACATCATTTTAATCCCTAATCAATTAACAAACTGAATCTTGTTTATTAGAGCAAGAAAAAACACAAAAAAACAGCAAAGCTTACAAGGCTGGAATTGGAGAATCTTGAATTAAATAATAAAACGCTCCTTTTAATTTTAGATTAAATAACATTTTATTTTCGTTTATTATTTTGTTTGCATAACTTGCCTTGTTCTTCTTAGACGCCATCTTGTGACAGATACCACAAATACCTGACCTATCTAAAGCACACAAGAAACATTTGCTGCATTGTTACTTTTTCAACAGGGACCAATCAGTCAGGAACTCTAAACACATACAGTGGATTCAGAAAGTATTCTGAGACTTTTTGCACACTTTCTGTGTTATGGATTTGATTATGAATATATAATTTTACCTATTAATCTTCACTTAATCACCCACAATGATGAAGTGAAAACATGTTAATAGAGTTTTTTGAAAATAAATTTAAAAATCTCTTATTCACAAAAGTATTCAGATCCTTCATTCAATACTTTGTAAAAGCCCCTTTGGCAGCAGTTACAGCTGCAAGTGTTCTTGGATAATTCTCTACAACGCCTGTGGACACCTGGATTCGGGCAGTTTATCCCATTCTTTATGGCAGATCCTCTCAAGCACCATCACATTGGATGGTGAGCAACTTTGAGCTGCCATCTTCATGTCTCTCCATAGATGTTTGAATCTGGGGTTTGGCTGAGCCACTCAAGGACATTCAGACTTCCCCCGAAGCCACTCCAACATTGTTTGCTTTGGGTCATTGTTGCATTCAAAGGTGAAGTATTGCCCTAGTCTGAGTTTTTATGTGCTCTGGAGGAGGTCTTCTTCAAGAATGAAAGAAAATCTTCAATTCTTACCAGTCTTCTTGTCCCTGCTGCTGAGAAGCACCCCCATAGCACGATGCTGGCACCACCATGTTTCGCCATAGGGACGGTATTAGCAAGATGCTGTGCAGAGGCTTTTTTTTGCCAGACCTAGTGCTTGCTGTTTGTCCAAAGCATTCAACTGTCATTGCAACAGAGACAGCAGACAATCTTTTTCTTTATGTTGTCAGAGTTCTTTATTTGCTGTTTAGCAAACTCCAAGCAGGCTCCCATATGCCTTTTACTCTACAGTGGCTTCTGTCTTGCCACTCTGCCAGAGAGGCCTAATTTATGGAGTGCTGCAGAGATGGTTATCTGTACTACAGGTTCTCCAATCTCTGCCCAGGACTTCTGAAGCTCTTTTAGAGTGACTGTTGTGTTCCGTCTTACCTCCCTGGCCAAGAACACTTCTTGTCCTGTTGCTCAATTTAGCAGGATGGCCAACTCTACAAAAGTTCAAAGGGTAACACTTTACATTAAGGGTCACTAATCAATCATTAAATATATAATAATCAACTATTAGTTTCCCATCATTTAGTTATTAGTTAACTCTTCATTAAGCATTAGCTATTACTTAGTAATTGATTAAGCACTTATCAATTAGTAATTAAGTACACTGTTAGTTGATAAGTTAGTTTGTCGTTAGTTTGTGGCTTACTTACTCATTATCTGTGTGCTAATTGCTGCTTATTACATTGTTAATTAACTAATAAGTATTTTTCTTCATATAAAGAAGTAACGTGATAACTTACTATCACTTATGTCTTAATCCTGCTAATTATCTGTTAATTAGCTTTCCATCACCTCCATATATTCAGTTGCTTCACTTTTCTCACTTTGGTTCATTAAAGATGCTTATGATCACATCTGGCCGTAAGATGAGCGCACACAAATTCATGGACGGTTTTGTCATTCATCAAGTTCATCTTTGCATATCTGTACTCATATCTGGTAGGAGTGCATGTAAATTTGGGCATAAATGCTGGATATGTGGCTAATTAACCAAAACTATTATCAACAGAATCTGTAATTGCAAAAATAAGAACAACAATAGAAAATTTCAATAATACTAATTTGTGTGCATGACAGTCCAGTACAAAAGTGGATGTACTTACTTTACATGCACATTGATATAAACAAGTGCTGCAACTATTTCATGTTCCATTTAAAGGCACATTACACTGTGCTTTTGTTTCATACTACTGACTCACAAACACAGCTTCGGTCATACACTGCAATAATACAGCGTTTATTTTAGGGAATTAATTACACTAAACAATCACTCTACTATGTTAACAACACTGAGTATTTTGTTTTATTTCACATTTTATTTTTTCCAGTTGTTTTCATTTTAATACTATTAAGTTTGGTCAGCAGGGGAGGAGTGCACTCACTGTTGGACATCAAACTCCACCCACGAGCACAGCCATTAGCTTTCATGCCAAACACTGCCGTTTTATTGGCTGGCTACTGAAACATCCGCATGAATTAGTGTGTGCTTCATGTAAATGATATGTAAATGAGATGCTGGTAGGCTGGTTTCATGCACTCAAGCTGATTTATCATTTATGCTCAAATCTCCACTTGTTTCCACATCGTACAAAATTGTTATGAATCAGACGCAGAGCAATTCATACCGTATAAAAGGCAAAAAAAAAGGTGGTGTTCTTTTTTTACGTAACTTTGATGATTAATGGGCCCTTTTCACAAGATTTGTGATTACTTCCGGTTTAAGCATTAGCAGGGTAAAACTCACTTCCTCTCCATATAGCTACTGCAGACGCGATGTCAAAATGTTTAGTAGTGAACTGGAACGCTCAAACACTGAGCTACAACAGCTGTATTTTAGTTTTGCTGCACGGTTGTGACAAACAGCGAAAGTAAGAAGTGGACGGAAGCACTGATTTGACTGTAAACAGAGCTAAAATGCTGTAGGTTATGTTGTTTTACTGCAGTTCTGCTGCAGCTGCTTCACATCAAGCCGTCTCTGTGTCTTTGCACAACATGCCAGCGATTTCGGTAATATTCTGTTTTCAAAAGAAAGAAGAACTTTTATATGTAGCATGAATGTTATAGACTTTGTTTATATTAAGCTAGCTTTACTGGCTAGAAGCTACTGCTAACCAAACTAGCCCGGCTAACATGAAGCAGCTTTTTCAGATGTTTTTTTCAGCTTGGAGTCATGTTTTTGACTGAGCAGTGAAAGGTGGATGTTTTCTGAAGTGCTGCTTCAAAAATTGCCATGAAACTGTAAGAATAATGCTGTTTGGCAGATCGCTAACATAGCCAGCGTTAGAGCTAACTTAGCTTTAAAGTTTGATGCTCATACGAAGCTGGTGCTCCTCAAACTGCTAATGGTAGGCTAGCTAATTAGCGACTGTAGCCTGCTAGCCTACTGTAATACAGTTTAAACGATGTCTATCAAATAGACTTTACATGTAAAAGTTTTTGTTTGTGTTTATGTCAGAAGTCACTGCCACTGCTTTTGTGTCCCTCCAAGTGACAACACAAAATCAGTAATTAATGGTTAAGTAAGAGGAATTTAAGAAGTAATTAATGGTCAAAATGTACAGATCTAATGGCCATTTTGTCATGATAGTGCGCGAAAACTAACATATGTCTGTTGTAGCTTAGTATTTGAGCATTATAGTTCACTGCTAATGCTTAATCCGGACGTAATCGCGACTCTTTGTGAAAAGGGCCCATGGCCATTAGATCTTTACATTTTGACCATTAATTACTTCTTAAATTCCTCTTACTTAACCATTAATTACTGATTTTGTGTTGTCACTTTACTTGGAAGGACACAAAAGCAGTAATTAATGGTTAAGTAGGAGGAATTTAAGAAGTAATTAATGGTCAAAATGTAAAGATCTAATGGCCATTAATCATCAAAGTTACGTAAAAAAAAGAACACCTTTTTTTTGCCTTTTATAAGGTATGAACTGCTCTGCGTCTGATTCATAACAATTTTGTATGATGTGGAAACAAGTGGAGATTTGAGCATAAATGATAAATCAGCTTGAGTGCATGAAACCAGCCTACCAGCATCTCATTTACATATCATTTACATGAAGCACACACTAATTCATGCAGATGTTTCAATAGCCAGCACATAAAACGGCAGTGTTTGGCATGAAAGCTAATGGCCGTGCTCGTGGGTGGAGTTTGATGTCCAGCAGTGAGTGCACTCCTCCCCTGCTGACCAAACTTAATAGTATTAAAATGAAAACAACTGGAAAAAATAAAAATGTGAAATAAAACAAAATACTCAGTGTTGTTAACATAGTAGAGTGATTGTTTAGTGTAATTAATTCCCTAAAATAAACGCTGTATTATTGCAGTGTATGACCGAAGCTGTGTTTGTGAGTCAGTAGTATGAAACAAAAGCACAGTGTAATGTGTCTTTAAATGGAACATGAAATAGTTGCAGCACTTGTTTATATCAATGTGCATGTAAAGTAAGTACATCCACTTTTGTACTGGACTGTCATGCACACAAATTAGTATTATTGAAATTTTCTATTGTTGTTCTTATTTTTGCAATTACAGATTCTGTTGATAATAGTTTTGGTTAATTAGCCACATATCCAGCATTTATGCCCAAATTTACATGCACTCCTACCAGATATGAGTACAGATATGCCAAGATGAACGTGATGAATAACAAAACTGTCCATGAATTTGTGTGCGCTCATCTTACGGTCAGATGTGACCATAAGCATCTTTAATGAACAAGAACCAAAGTGAGAAAAGTGAAGCAACTGAATATATGGAGGTGATGGAAAGTTAATTAACAGATAATTAGCGGGATTAAGACATAAGTGCTAGTAAGTTATCATGTTACTTCTTTATATGAAGAAAAATACTTATTAGTTAATTAACAATGTAATAAGCAGCAATTAGCACACAGATAATGAGTAAGTAAGCCACAAACTAACGACAAACTAACTTATCAACTAACAGTGTACTTAATTACTAATTGATAAGTGCTTAATCAATTACTAAGTAATAGCTAATGCTTAATGAAGAGTTAACTAATAACTAAATGATGGGAAACTAATAGTTGATTATTATATATTTAATGACTGATTAGTGACCCTTAATGTAAAGTGTTACCGTTCAAAATTGGGCCAAGCTTCTTACATTTCAAAATTATTGAGGCTGCTATGACCCTGGGAACACTGAAAGCCATAGATATTATTTTATATCCTTGCCTTGATCTATGCTCTGCCACTTGATTGGTTTGATTGAAGAGATCCACAGACAGTTCCTTGGACTTCATGGCTTGGTTTTCGTTCTGACAATGCAGTGTAAATTGTGGGTCCTTGTAGACCCCAGTGTGTGTCTTTCTAAACTGTGTCCAGCAAATTAAAATTGCAACAAGTGGAACCAATTTGAGTTCTAGATACATCTCAAGAACAATTAATGCAAACAAATTGCACCTGACCACAATTTGAAGTACCACAGTAAAGGGACTGAATACTTGTGTGAATAAGAGATCGCAGTTTTTGATTTTAATAAATTTCACCTTATCATTATGGATATCATTTTATATATCAAATCCACAACACAATAAACTGTGCAAACGTCACATACTTTTTGTGACTGAATACTTTGTGTGTTTTGTGACTGAATACTTTGTGTGTTTTGTGACTGAATACTTTGTGTGTTTATGTACTTACCAAGTGAACTGAGAAGTAGCAATCCCAGTCTTTCTCTCTCTCCTTGTATAGGTGGACACGCAATATTTCCCTCATCCCCTCGCAGAAAGGTCTCAGCAAACTAAAGAGATTCTAAAAAGATGATTAATTTGAATTGTCACAGGAGCAAAATGACTTGGCAGAATATCTACAGTATTATTAGAAATTCCACAGCAGTAGTTCTGGCAAAACTTGACCCTAAAAAAAATGACAGTTCTTTGCAAGTTTTGTAAAAAATTAGACAAATAAAAAAAATCACAATACATTCTTTACCACAGCTGTGAAAACACCACAGGAAATACTGTCATCCTGAAGGGTATGACTCCTTCTTGACCTTTTCCATGGTCCCTGGTAGCCTTTTGCTGCAGCAAATGTGCTGGGATAAAGATTTATGTAAAGGACATGTATGAATTATTGAAATACAGATAATGTAGAAAAGCCTTGTCCCTACCTCCAATTTTGTGCTATTTTATAATACTGCTTATCCTGTTCCCCAAGTGAATTAAGGTACGTTATACTCCGATCCACAATGTTGCAGTGCTAGACAAAAAAAATTAAGCCATTTTACAATTTTACAATAAAGAACATACATTACCCTGACTGCCAAATTACTTCACATTTAATCTAATAATATAATCACGATTCTTGATAGAACAATGTCCGTGAGTGACTTACAAAAAAAGTCCAATGGTTGCCACCCTCCAAATAGGGACCAACAACCTCCTTTGCATTTTCAAAGATGTTTCTCTTAATAGAGGAGAAAAAAATTGTAAATGATTGCGTTACTGATTCCTTTAACCTATTATGAGCAAAACAATAACCATAGTGACTACCTGCAGCAGTCCAGCAAGAAATATCTGATACCATGTTCTACCTATAATACTGAAGGAAAGTATAGGCCAATTAAAGGTTTGTCAGGTAATTCTTACCTTGATAAAATAACGGCTCCTTACCCTTGCTTTCCCATCCAGAATATGAGTCAGGGTATGAGTATTAATTGCCACTACACCTGGTCGCCTCTAGATGAAAGAAATTAAAGGGGTTTAGACAGAATGTTTTTAAAGAATTATTTAAGTTCTACAAAATCTTTTAAACGAGTGCAAATTAAACAAATATGTCTTGGTATAGAAGGGAGACAACCCACTTCCTGGAGTGTTACACTTTTGTGCTATTCAAACAGACACATGCTTATTCCAGTTCATTACAATACCAGAGTCTCTCTGAATTATACATTTACGCAGGGGTGGGTGATATGACAAAAATATAATATTGTGATACTCTGAAGACACGTTTACAGTACATGAAATGCATCATGACATTGTGTTTCTTAGGTTTGCTAAGTTAGTACAGACCAAAATGCCCCAGAAGTGCCACATTTAAAATATATACTATGAAAATCTAAAAATAATGATTATACATAAGCTAGGTCCAGTTAAACAGGACTATATATGCTTTTATTGGAATGAAACATGCAGTTAGTTTACATTCTTTAAGTACTAAAAATATCTATGATCTGCTTAGAAAATCATAATGTGGAAATCATGATAAACATATAATACTTATCTTGAGTTATGAGTTACAGTATGCTTTTTACACTGTGAAAACATTGTCAAATAGCCCATTCGTACACGTGTGTTAGATTAGTGTTAATATTGATATCTGTAGTGTAACAGCACTCCAGGAAGACTGTTGTCTTCCTTTTGAATAAAAAAAATGTTAATAGTAGTCTATTACCAAGCTGAACAGATGAAACAAGGCATCCATGATCTGAGGAATCATTACCCAAAGAGAAAAGAAAGAAAACAAAAATAATCAGGAAAAAGTACTGAGAAACACGCTGAAAGTGAGAATGGCATGCCATGCCAGCAAACTTCTATTGAGAGCTTAGAATGTTTTGAGAGTTCAGATTAGGCTTTTAGTAAATAGAGGTGTTTGTGGATGACTGAAAAAAAATGGGGTTTTACATAAACACATACAGTCTATGGTAAGAACGCTGAAAACTCAGGCAGGATTTCTGGATGACTTCTTTGGCACTTTTTATTATATATAGTCTGATCCTGATCTTAGTGGCTACATTAAAATTCACTTGCACTCATGTTGATTTTACACCTATATTTATTATATTAGCTTTCATTTATATTGCCGCTATGTTGATTTATTGTTGTATTGATACATTGTTGTTTGTTTGCTTTTTGTTGTGTGTAAACTATACTTTAGTGCCTTGAAAGGTGCCTGTAAATAAAATGTATTGTCATCTTTATTAGTATTATTGTTGTTCTGTTGTTAATAATAATAATAATAATAATAATAATAATAATAATTTATCCACAGGAAATTATTTATACTGAAAGTTAATTATCTACATACACATATAAACACAAAAGCAGAATGATAAAATCATAAGAAAAATGTCACCTCATCAGATACTTTGTTGCATTCCACAAGGGATTCAAAGCTTCCCATGTAAAGAGGATAGGGCCCAACACTTCCAATTTTGGTGTCCCTTTGCAGTCCTCCAGACTGGTTTGTAAGACTGCATTGGTAAAGAAGGTGTAAGCTTTTGTTTTAACAATTACTATACATTTATCTCATACACCAAACATACACCAAACTTTTAAAATGTTACATGGTATGTTATTAAAAAGGCACATGCACATGAAAAAACATTCATGCTTACCATTCATTTGTCTCTGTGACAGCGGAAATTTCTTTGAAGACATAAATAAAGGAAAGGATTGACAGATGTCACACTATTTCCTTAAACATATGACACAACCAATATGTTATATTTGAGGACAAATGTTAACATGGTGTTAATTTATATACATAGTAGTTGGTATCAGCTCAGACATCATAAGAATTTATGGTCTAAGTACTATGCAGACTACGAATGTATCACTAAGAATCCGCAATACATCAAGGAGAATGGACATTTTATTTATGCCGTCTAATGCAACTACACTGGTTAAACACGAAAGCTTTTAAGCAGTCAGCACCAATCTTCACCTTGCTCCAGCACTCCTCCTGCATCCCAGCTCTAGTGTTATTTGAAAGTTGTGCAACAACATAAACATAGTCCTAAGTTTTCAAATTCTGTTCAAAATATAAGAATCCTGAATCTTGACTGAGTGTCATGAATTGAATCAAATCGTGGGTTGAGTGTATCAGTCCACCCCTATTGCCAGTACTCCCTCCATAAGAGAAACATTACACTCTATGTAGGAGGTTGATAGGCTACTAGCAGAGCAAAATATGCAAATATATTTACTGTACTCCCCTGTATCCTGCCCCAAGATTACTCTTTAAACAGTACCATAAATCTAAACTTTAGGAAGTATTACAGGTGACAGGAGTAGAGCTTGCGTCCCAAGAGCAGCTTTACCTTGTATACAGAAGACTAATAATAAACTTATGGAACCACAAGACCTGTGGAGCTGTTGTCCTGCCCCAAGAGAAGTAATGTACCGTATGAAGATGTGAGACACACACCTATAGTATGTTTACAGTATATACAGTATCTGCCCAAAGAACAGCAATACCCTGTGTACAGTACATTAAACATTGGAAATCATCATGGCTGCAGTACATTTCTCCTGCCTTAAGAGCAGAAATACACTACACAGTACATTTCTCCTGCTTCAGGAGCAGAACTACACTACACAGTACATTTCTCCAGTCTTGAAAGCAGAACTACACTACACAGTACATTTCTCCTGCCTTGAAAGCAGAACTACACTACAGTACATTTCTCCTAGCTTAAGAGCAGAACTACACTACACAGTGCATTTCTCTAGCCTTGAAAGCAGAACTACACTACACAGTACATTTCTCCAGCCTTAAAAGCAGAACTACACTACACAGTACATTTCTCCAGCCTTGAAAGTAGAACTACACTTCACAGTACATTTCTCCTGCATTAAGGGCAGAACTACACTTCACAGTACATTTCTCCAGCCTTAAGAGCAGAACTACACTACACAGTACATTTCTCCTGCCTTAAGAGTAGAACTACACTACACAGTACATTTCTCCTGCCTTGAAAGCAGAACTACACTACACAGTGCATTTCTCCCGCCTTAAGAGCAGAACTACACTACACAGTACATTTCTCCTGCCTTAAGAGCAGAACTACACTACATTTCTCCAGCCTTGAAAGCAGAACTACACTACACAGTACATTTCTCCTGCCTTAAGAGCAGAACTACACTACACAGTACATTTCTCCTGCCTTAAGAGCAGAACTACACTACACAGTACATTTCTCCAGCCTTAAGAGCAGAACTACACTACACAGTACATTTCTCCAGCCTTAAGAGCAGAACTACACTACACAGTGCATTTCTCTAGCCTTGAAAGCAGAACTACACTACACAGTACATTTCTCCAGCCTTAAAAGCAGAACTACACTACACAGTACATTTCTCCAGCCTTAAAAGCAGAACTACACTACACAGTACATTTCTCCTGCTTTAAGAGCAGAACAACACTACACGGTACATTTCTCCAGCCTTGAAAGCAGAACTACACTACACAGTGCATTTCTCCAGCCTTAAGAGCAGAACTACACTACACAGTGCATTTCTCCAGCCTTAAGAGCAGAACTACACAGTGCATTTTTCCAGCCTTGAAAGCAGAACTTCACTACACAGTACATTTCTCCAGCCTTAAGAGCAGAACTACACTACACAGTACAATAAACTCAGCTAAACTCAAACAGCTCCCTCCCAAAAAAATGTAAGGCTGCCAAGCATGCTAATGCATAAACACAAACAGCTAACATAGCTATTAACAAGTCAGCATTATGGGATTTTTGACTGCAATTACAAATAGCTAATCTAGCTAGCTATCTAAGCTCTCAAATGCAAGCTTTATTTGTTGGTTCCCCATCAAATCACGCTCGTTATATCAGTCTTTAAATTTAGTTAGCAAACTGACATAATTCAAATTGCTAGCTGACATTAACTGAAACTACTGTTAACTTTGAGGTTAAGTAGCCAACCCAGCTCGCTAGCTAGCCTATTAAAGGTGCACTTACTTGGTTCAAGCTAGCTCAACAAGATAAAGCCACATACTAAATAAATAAGACACAGACAAATAAAAACAGCTTACCTTTGCCAACATTTTGTTCCAAATTTCCCAGCTGCACAGCCGCAATCTTCCACTGCTGGAGATGGTGTTTTGTTTTTTCTGGGTTTTTTTTGGCCCTGTGTTATTGTTTGTGAAGTCAACACCAGGACATCTGGGTATTTCTTAAGTAAAAGCAAAAGATTTTCTAAAATTAAAGCATTGTAAATTGGAATAACATCATTGCCATGCATACCTCAGTCTCCATTAAAAAAGAGCATCCATAACCTTTAAATGAGAAAGGTTATGTTAAATACTAAGTAAGGTGGTATTCAATAATGGTAATTCTGTACTAGTTTTTAGATTCTATCAATGAACCATGGGCCTACCTCATCTGAAACGTAATGTAATTTTAAATGAGTCAAGACAGCACAGATTGGTAACTTGCATGTCAATGATTTTACTGCCTCTAAATGAGATAGTAATCCTGCTGCCTCTAAGCTGCATTTACATTATGAAAGTAAATGGATGAAACAAGCTGGATATTCTATGTTTTTAAGTCACAGGAAATCCTGATATCACCAGTGACAACAGCAATGTACCTTAGCTTTCAACTTATGCTGTCAGCCACTGTGATGGATGTTGCCTCAGAACTTGGTTTCTTCTGAAACCTGCATGGAACATTCATAGATGAAGTCCAGACATGATACTTTTAGAATGTTATAAGAGCACACTATTAGAAACATCTATATGTGTTCAAATCAGAATCTTAAAATAAAATTGTTGCAAACATCATCATCATCAAGGCAGGAATACTGCTGGTGTTTGGTAATGTTATCACCATGGAAACATTACTGTGGTCAAGCTATCTGTACCTAAATCACACCTGTTTAAATTTAAAGAAGCATATTATAGTAGTGCACTGCAGCGCATCCTATGCTCATGGCCACACCTCCTATCCAATCTGTTTTTGCAACAAACAAGTAATAATAGTGATAGTAATAATAATATACTTTCAGTTCTGACATGATTATGTTTTACTTTATCTAAAAAGTGTTTACACAGTCTTTTAAAAAGTTCTTATGGAAAAGCTTGAAATTATATATATATATATATATATATATATATATATATATATATATATATATATATATATATATATATACACACACACACACACACACACACATTCACACACACTCTGTATACCAATGTATACTGTAATTCTGAATTCTTAATGTCTGGGCCTGTATGTTCTGAGCCTAGCCTCATAAAGTCGTAACATTTCGAGAAAAAATCTGTACTATTTTGAGAAAAAAGTTGTACAATTTCGAGGATAAAGTGGGCTAACTGCAGGGGGGCTGCGATAATGCGTTGGGGTCTCGGTTGCTGTACTGGCACGGCAGAGTTCCACACACTCCTGTCGGTCTGTGGATCGATCATTTTGATTATCATTGTTATTGTCTGTGAAACTACATGTCCTCTTTAATGGCATGGAGATGTAGCCACCCATAGCTGTGTAGACCACACTGCCTATGATTCTCCTCCAAAAAAACAGTTTCCTCCGAATCTGTCTGGTTCTTTATTCTACAAAAACACAGTTTCCTGCACAGCTGTTTCTTTTACTAATAACAGTTTGGTGCTGATGTGTCAGGAGAAACAGGGAGACTGAGTATTTCTTTATGGGTGACATCTATATGAAAGTATAACTCCACCAACTCCTAAACGCCCCTCATTTCAACACAAGGAGGTGCTGCCTTCCCTTTGCAAAGTCTTTGGCCACAATATTGCGACCTTTCCTGGTATTAACGCCACTTTAATGTCGTAATAGGCTATGTGCATGAGAAGCTGTGACATACTTCCGCCTTGGGTTTTACCAGCATTTTTACTTCCTGCCTACTGCCTAGGTTTTCAGGGACTAATTTAACAGCGTCTGTGAAGAGTTTGGCGAATATGAATATCGGTAAAAGATTTTTTCCAGAAGCGTGAAGGGGTGCTGCATTGTTCCGTGCCACTCTGCTCTGTTTCAAGATATAATTTGGTAGTGAGTTTTTATTCTTTCCCCGAGGACGAGACACTTCGGAAAAAATGGCTCGTCAAGATACTGCGGGAAAGCTTTACTGTCACGAAGCACACTAAAGTGTGCAGCACTCACTTTAGAGAGAGTGATTTTGCTGTGGGCACCAGCCAGAGACATCTTAAGAAAGGCTCGGTACCGACCATTTTTGAGTGGAACCGGCATACCCAAATCAAGCCGCGACTCGGTGTTTGGGAAAGAAGAGAAAGACCATCTACTTCCCTGGACGATAGTTCAGCAGTGGAGCTAACGGACATCTCACTACAACAGCACAATTACGATGCGACACCAGAACCAGCAGCCTTGGACCTACTAATTATGAAAAACAAGGAACTTGAAGAACAAGTGCAAGAACTACAGGCCAGTTTAGTGGTTTTCCAGGTTTAGCAGGTGTGAAAAATCACAGGAGAGAAAATCACCAAACTGTGCTGGACACCTGCTCTCCAGGACTGCTGCTAGCCACCCCTGCTTTAGCTTTAGCTTAGCGTTTCCCAACCCTGGTCCTGGAGACGCACTGCCTTGCTCATTTTGGTGCTTTTGCTGCTTTTTAAAAACACCCAATTCAACTCAGTAAAGGATTGTTAAAGACCTGATTAGTTGGACTAGGTGTGTTGGGGGCAGGGAAAACACTGAAATGTGCAGGGCAGTGTGCTTCCAGGACCAGGGTTAGAAGACAGTGCTTTAGCTAACTTGTAGCTGTGTTTGATTAGATCATGTCCCAAATGTCTCCCTACTCCTTATTTGTTCCAATACAGGAGATTTATGCTGATTTATGCTGATCACTAACACCATTTATCTATTTAGATTTGCCTCCTACGACCATCTAAAGGCCTTCTGGAGGCTTATTGAACCATCAACGTCAAAAATGATTCAAGTTAGCCAGGCCAGCGAAGGCTCCCACTTGTGTGCCCCCGAGGAAGCATCATCAGGACCCACATTGACTGCACAGAGCTTTGCTGCCAGACACCATCATCTTCACTGCTGCAGAGTGAAGTATTGTCAATGTACAAGTCCCACTGTACCTTCAAAGGTATGCTGGGGATGGCAAGGGTACAGGGTTTCAGGTAAATACACAGGTTTTGTCTGTGACTGTTCTTGGTTTTTGGTATTATTGGTTTTGTTGTTCTTGATAATGAGGAATTATTGGAGGCCACTGGTTCCTAGCCTTAGTCCTGAATTTCCCCTAACCTGTGTTTTCTTGCTGTCAAGTCAAAACAAGGTCATCAGCTAATAAAGGCTTTTAGGAGTTTGAAGTAGGTGTTCTATAGAAGGGAAAACTGCAGGGTGATAAAGCAAACATTTGAGGCTGTATGTGCATAATGCTTAATGTTATCCATGTGTTCAATTTACTTTCCCTGTACACTTCCTACAGTTAACTATGAACGCTTTGCTTTTCTAAAGTCAGTGGAATGAAATTGCTCATCAAAAACCTAATATTTGGTGAAACATTTGTACTTGTCAATTTATTTTTAAATACTTAAAATGCTTTTTGATAATCACTGTTTCTCTTTTGAGTGTTTTTTAATAACTCCAAACCATCAACTATAATGTCAATCAGAACTGTGACAATGACATGCTTCAAAAATGTTGTTTTCTGCAGCTACTGACTGAGCTTACATAAAGCTGCATCCAAATTAAACCTGACTAACTCAAAAAGCAAAATATAACATTTAATATATAACATTACTGTACCCATAGCAGGGCATCATAACTAAAAAGACATTTTAAACAAAATATGTTCATTTCAGTGCTTATAACGAGGCAAATACAATTCAGTTCCACCTACTCTCACAACTGAATTTACAGGCATCTATGCATGTAAAGATAAAAGAAAAAAATGGTCCACTTTTTTGCTTTATGGTTTTAATTACCTCTGTGTTTTAGAAAATGCGCTGCACCAACATGTCCTCTTCAGCAAAAACCACAAAGTCACACCAGGCTGGATTCTGTCAGCCAGGTGCTCACCTGAACTGAGGAAGTCAAACGTGGCTTTCTTAGCTGATGCCATTCTCCACACACACTCTGTTTGCTGGTTGCACACTCAATTTTGTGTGCCATTTCCCAGGTGATGGTGAGAGACTTCAGATGGAGCTGTTCTTTCTCACTGCAAACACACATGCAGTCTGAAGGTGCCAGTCCATATGCATCAGAAGGAACAACTGAAGGCAGAGGTGCATCAAGACGAGGAGCAATGTAATCTTTAGCTACTGGTTGCTGGTAAGACAAAGGACTACCAGCTTGCATGCTTCCAAATGCACTCTCAACCAGTGGAATGTCTTTGGAGATTCCCACTGTGGTTATCAATGGTGCGGTATGATGAGGAAACTCCTTGTAAACCTCAGACACACACAGGACAGAGAGGTCTGGCAAATCTCCGGGCAACGCTTTGTATAGAGTGCTCCTGTGAACAACAATCATTTATATCACAGTGTTAATTCCACTATTTATCCATTTGGTATTGCAAGTATTATTAATTAGTAATGTCACCACTTGTATCTTACCATACAGCCTCACTGCTCTTTGCTTGGGTCTTGCTGCCCTTTTATCCACAGGCCCTGGCTTCACACCCTAGGTAAGATACATATCCTATGTGTGTGGTTCTCAGGCCTGGTACTGAAAGCCCCCTGATTTGTACAGAGTTATATATCTAAAGTTTAGAATATTATTACTTACCAAAGTTCTTGGCTTGTGCCATTGCTGCTCACTCTCTGTGCAGATCAAGACAGGAGGAATGGCAGGAAGTCGCAGTTGTGAATAATGTGCAGTTTGATAAAGCAATGCTACCACATGGTTGCACAAAGTGGTCCCAGCAACACATGAGCAAGAGCAATGAAGAGCAATGAATTTAGAACAATCTGTAAAAATATAGAAAGAAGCACATACAATAATAAGGAAACAGAATCAAGTGCAATTCAATCAAAAAAACTACAGCTACTTACAACATGGAAAAAAGCAGGACATCAGGAAAAAAAAGGACTGTTAGTAAATACTATCATACACGGCCTACAGCGTTGGGTAACGTTTTTGTTTGGGTATCATTTGGACAATAACACTTCAACAGCTCCTGCAGTATTTAGAATAAAGTAAATCAGGGAACGTCAAAGGGAACAAAAGACAGATCAGTTTCTGGGGATTTTGCCTTTTTTGTTCACTTTTCATAGCTGAAAAAATAATAAAGCCATTCTCTCTCTGCCTTTTCACCTTGGTTTACCAAAAAAATGTTTACAATCCCCAGAAACCTGAATCTGAAAACAAAATAGGCACAGCATTTAGCTACTAAATTACTGTCATCCTACACTCAAGCTGTGTGGCTTCTCCGACTTCTTCATTGACCTAAAACAGGTCGCACTCACACATATCTCCCCTGTCACCTGATGTTTGTTCGAAACTAAAATACAAAGGAAAGAACAGAGTTAATCATACTATGTGATCTGTTTGAAAGTCAAGTAGGGTAACTCAGTGCTGAGTACAAACAGTCGTGAAGATTAGCGTTCAGACACGACCAACTACGACTCTTACTTTCACAGATGATAATAGTATTCGATTTATTTAAAATCAAACTAATAATAATTTGTTTTATTTTGTGGGAGTACATATCGATTTGTTTAACAGACAAATAGGACAACTCAGCACCGAGTTAAAAGCTTATAATGCTAATTAGATTATCGTTTCGTCTTAATATGCTCCTGACGTTAGCTAACTAGCTTTTCGCTAGCGCTGACACAGAACACTTACCTTCATAGTTGTCAATATAACTTGATATGTACATTTTGAACCCTTTTTCTTGCTTGCTTGTAGAAGCCAGGGCCCACATCTTGACGATGCGTTGAAAATCGTTGACCGTCATTCGAGGGAGGTCTTGCAAACATCGCTTGTAAAACGCCATTGTTGACAAACCAGTGCCAAAGTCTGTCCCTGTTAGCGTTGTTTAGCTAACCGGAAATGAAACTGCCGGTAAAGGCGAATGCGGGAGCGTTACGTGCACAGAGCCAATTCTACGACATTTTTTCTCGAAATACTACGACTTTTTTCTCGAAATATTACGACTTTTTTTCTTGAAATAGTACGACTTTTTTCTCAAAATACTACGACTTTTTTCTCATATTAGCAGGACTGCGGAACAAAGAGATGTTTGTAAAGATAAGCCCCGCCTATTGGCTATTTTAATTGGTTGTTCCCTGAGCCAATTATGTTCATTCTGCCTCAGGGGTAGCGCTGCCTTCAGTTTTGAGTAGTGATTTAGCACATGAGCACAAACAAATGAAACCTTCTATTGCGCTATATTCGTGGTCTACTAAGACCATGACACTTAATTGTGAATCAAAGTTATTTTTATTTCAAATAAAGGTTAGGTTCAAAACCGGACTGCAACTTCTAATGTCAGTTAGTTTTCAATACAAGCCCTGAACAAGCCCCATATCGCTTAGTTTCTGACATGAGACCAGACCAAGGGTTCTCATAGATTCTTATATACTGGCTGAAGCTGGAAGCCAGTACAAGCCTTCTAAAGTAATTCAGTAGAATATATAACCAAGAACATGCAGACTTCCTATTTGATGTCTTAAGCCTTCTGCTTAGTCCCACAGTGTGACCTTCTTTTCACTGTATCCATTGTTTAGTTTCAAATGATCACTTTTGAAACTTTTGAAACTAGATGGAAACCTCAGTCAAGCCTAAGTGTTCCCAGGCCCATAGAACCACTGGTTGAGGCTGACTACCAGATTTAAAGTATCCCATTTAAAGTATCCCACCACTCTATTAGGACTCGGTAGAGGCTGACTTTTTTTAAAGTTCTTAATTTTGAATCAAATGTATTTTTATTTCAAAGTAAAGGTTAGGTTCAAAACCTGATTGCAACTTCTAATGTCAGTTAGTTTTCAACACAAGCCCAGAACAAGCCTCATATTGCTTAGTTTCTGACATGAGACCAGACCGAGGGTTCTCATAGAAGCTGGAAGCCAATACAGGCCTTCTAAAGTAATTTAGTAGAATATATAACCAAGAACATGCAGACTTCCTGTTTGATGTCTTAAGCCTTCTGCTTAGTCCCACAGTGTGAACTTCTTTTTACTGTATCCATAGTTTAGTTTCAAAGCAAATGTTTAGTTAAAAAGCTTTGAACTCCTGGCAAGGCAGCATGGTCTGCCATCCACTCACTGACCTAGGTCAGCCTTGCTTAGCTTCACAGATCAGTCAAGCCTTAGGGTTCCCAGTCCCATAAAGCCACTGGTTGAAGCTTGTTTCCAGTATTGGCCATTTAAAGTATCCCACCACTCTATTAGGACTCAAAAGAGGCTAACATTTGTTTTAAATTCTTAATTTTGAATCAAATGTATTTTTATTTCAAAGTAAAGGTTAGGTTCAAAACCTGATTGCAACTTCTAAGGTCAGTTAGTTTTCAATACAAGCCCTACCCAGACAGCAAGCATGTTCGGGCCGGATTACCTTGGCCGTCACAAAGTCCTCCTAGCAGTCGCATCTGCATTGCGGACTTGTGCCACATTTGGGCCAAGTAACTGTTAACAGCACTAGACACACTGCTGGTCAGCGGACTCAGAGCGCATTGCGGCCGGACCTAACAAAAACGGCGCCTCATTTAAAATTTGCCCCTCCCCTTTTTTCCCCCCTCAGTCCTCTGCAGTCGTCAGTTGACTGACTGTAAAACTCGCTGCTGCGTTTGAGGTAAGGTGTATTTTGTATTTTAAATATTTGCACGTTTATTAGAATTACGATCAGGTATCTTGGATTTTATCGTTTAACTTTTAATATGTTATTCAGTTTGACAAACAAATAAGTTGAATGGTGGAGTTGCTAGAGGGGAGGACGTCAGTACTAGGTTAGCTAACCTAACCTAGGTTAGTTAACCTACGTTAGCTGAGGTAGTGAGTCAAAATGTCTAATTCCAACCTAAATTAACATCAGAGATTTCTCTTTAATCATGTTTAATAACGACACACTCTTAATCTTACATCATCTCCCTCGCCCGGCTGTGCAACAAGCTAGTTTAGCTGGGTTGTACTGTGAGAGGCAGCTGTTAGCTTCACTGGAAAATGTGAAAATGTTCTAAGAGCAGCTTTAATATTTCTGCCTGTTTTAGGAGAAAAACAAGTCTAAAGAGAACAGAGAAGTGAATTTGAGTGACTAATGTGAGAAACATCCATTAGCTGGAATCTGAAGTTACCCTATATTGTGGTGTGTGGAGCTAGCCAGATAACGTTAGCTAGCTAAGCTGTATTAGCCAGTGTAAGCAGTATCGTTAGTTTAACCGTCTTATTTTTATCTGCTTTTTACAGTGTCGGATTTTACTATTTTTACCTAAAGAAATGGTAGGTTAACGTTACTTTTAATTATTTTTGTCTTGAAACTGCTGAAATAACATAAACCAGTAACACTCGTATTTGGTTAAAAGTGTGTAAAATAACCCTCAGAAACAGAACCGGCTCCCTTTGCTTAATCTTTTATTAGACGAAGCTTCAGCTCTCTCACTGCTGCTCCCGCGGCCGCTTCGGGCTCAGGGCCAGTCTCAAAATTCTCAAAATTACGAACAGAAAGCGTTTCTGCTATAATTATTAGCATTATTATTATTGTCTCTGTATGTAAATCTGCTGATATGTTCAGAAGCGTCAGCAGAGCTATTTACGGAGATACTAAAGCTACTACTACTAGTAATAATAATAATAGCTTCACTTGTTTCGTCTTGTAATTTTGAGACGGTCTCTGACTCTGAAGCAGACGCGGACACAGTGATAGCGTGAATTGAACCTTTTGGCAAAAATAAAAGAATAGAAAAAAGACCAAGAAAAGAACAGCGCGGTTCAGTACAGACTGGGTTTGTTGTGTTTGTTATCTTTAATATGACCATGAAAGTGTAATAATCTAATAACACAGAACGTAATTGCGAATGTCACACGAACTTTACCGTCCGATGTGGTGTATGTTGCCTGATTGTGTGGAAGCTGAGACATGGCCGTGGTGGTCCGAGGTGGTCCTTAAACGGTCACAGTAACACAGCCGTTTTTTTAAACATACATGCAGCTGCCTGAAGCACCGAGCGCGTTTAACTACCGCAGCTCGGTCATGTTGACGTGTCGGAATACTGTTTCACGGTATGGTTTGCATTAAATAAACCAATAAAAGAACGTGTTTTACCGTCATTATGGGCTGTTACTGCGGTAGCTCGGTAACTCTTACCGGGCTCAGGCCAAGGCCCGATATATAAAACGGACGCGCCTAATTAAAAAACATTCCCCTTTCTTTTTTCCTGCTCAGCGGTCTACAGTCATCCGTTGGTATTGGTCTGTAAAGTTTGCTGCTGACTTTGAGGTAAGTTAATCATTACTTTCGATATCTGCACATGTGATCAGGTATCACAAATTATTACATTTGTTTAAATTATTACATTTATTTTAAAATATTTTATTCAATTGACAATCAGATAAGCTTAATGGTAGAGGAGTAAGGACAATTTTAGTTCTGTTAAAACAAATTACTGTTAGCGTCTTCTCTTTGATTGTCTTTAAGTTAAAAACAAATTTTGCCTCTCCGCCAGGGCCAGTCTCCTACACCTCCCCCTGCCAGGGCCAGTCTCCTACACCTCTCCCCGCCAGGGCCAGCCTCCTACACTTCTCCACCAGGGCCAGCCTCCTACACCTCTCCGCCAGGGCCAGTCTCCTACACTTCTCCGCCAGGGCCAGTCTCCTACACCTCTCCCCGCCAGGGCCAGCCTCCTACACTTCTCCACCAGGGCCAGCCTCCTACACCTCCCCCCGCCAGGGCCAGTCTCCTACACCTCTCCCCCGCCAGGGCCAGCCTCCTACACCTCTCCCCACCAGGGCCAGCCTCCTACACCTGTCCACAAGGGTCCGCCTCCTACACCTCTCTGCCAGGGCAAGCCTCCTACACCTGTCTGCAAGGGTCAGCCTTCTACATCTCTCTGCCAGGGCCATTACTCTCTTTCACGCCCTTTTTTTAGCCACTTTATGTAGACTGGCCTTTGTTGTTTTCCTCTGTAACCAACCTCTTTCACCACTTTATATCCAACTTCCTCCATGTCTGCTATAGGGTGAACATTCTTCTTCTAAGGTTTCACCCACCCCTTGAAAGGTCATGACCCCAATAAAACTGTGGGCTGCAAATATTGGCTGATTTGGGCCAACGAATGACTTGGTCTGACTCTTAGTGATGAACGGTAAACATTTTAAGTGATTTGAATCCAGAACATGGATTAGAGCCCAACCAATATGAAAACTGTGACTGATACCATTAATGATTGTTAAGAGGCTGGAAATTATCTTAACACTACTAACAATATTGGCTGGTATTATTTGATATTGTATTGTTTTATACTCCAATTCATTTTAGTTGAACTCTGCTTCACTGATACAATTGTCACTTCTCAATGGTCACACTTCTTAATTTGACATTGTAAAACTCAGCATGGTAGTATTTTGTGTTCAAATTGCCAGTTAACCTTTATTATTGTGATGACATGAGCAGAGTTTATCAGTCTCTATCAGTGTTAAAGTCTGTTTTTTATGTCAGTTTATTACAATTGAAAACAAAGCAGCTAATTATCGCTTCTTTAATGGCAGGTTTTTTTGCTGATAAGACTACACCTCAGTACTGGCATTGTATTTTTTCTTGTTTGAATTCATTTTTCAAAAAATGCTGTGTTGAAAACATAGTGACATTCAATAAACCTTTTTTTGAGGTAGTTGGTTTTATGTTTCCCTTTTTGAATTTAGCGTTTTTTGAAAACATTCATTATTAATGATTTGTGAATAATTATGTGGGATATGGAGCTGTTGTTGACTCTGAAACGGATCCGGTGCAGATGCAACAAGTCAGGGCCGGATCCGTTCTAGAGACAGCTGCTTATATCAACTTGAGCTTGGACCTCTTCTGAACTGGGCCTGTGCCACATTCGGGCCAGATATGAAGATAATATTCAGATCTGCACCGATTCAGGGCCAGATGTAACGCTGTTCTTTGCTCATCTGGGCCAGTTTTTAATCTGTTTTGGTGCAGATCTGTAAAACAGATCAGTTCCGGTATTGGGCCGTTGTGCAAAAAGACACCGGGCCAGCTCTGCTTTGTGGATCCGGACCGGATGCAGTGCTACATT